AAAAAAAAAAAAAACCAGGGGGGGGGGTTTCCTTTTTTGGGCTTTTTCACCCCCCATTTTATTTACGGAATTTTTTGAAAAAAAAGTTGAAGGGGGCCCCCAAAAAAAAAAAAAAAAAAAAAAAAATCCTTTTGCGGCAGGGGGGGGTTTTTGGCCTCAACGGGTTAAAAAATAAATTTTTTTTTTTTTTTTTTTTTTTTGTTTTTTTTTTTTTTTTTTTTTTTTGTTTTTTTTTTTTTTCTTATTCTAATTCTTTTCATTGAAAATTTTTAACTTAAAGGGTTGAAAAAACCCCTTTTTACAAAAAAAACCCCACCAAAAAACACCGGGGGGGGGGTTTGTTTTTTTCCGTTTTCCGTTTTTCCCTTTTTTTTTTCTTGGGTTCCCGGTTTTTTTAAACAATTGGGTTAATTTTTTTTTATTTTCTTGGGGGTTCCCCCCCTTTTATTTTGGGGGGTTTCTTTTCAAATTCTTTTTATTTAATGGGTAACAAAAAAACTTAAAAGAACCCCTACTTTCACCCCCCCCCCCCTAAAAAAAATTTTTCCTTTTTTTTCTTTTTTTTTTTTTGGGGGGGATAAAAAAAACCGGGATTGTGGGGTGTCCCACCGGGACCCCAAAAAAAAACCCCAAGGGGGACCAACCCCCAAAAGGGGGGGGGGTTTCATCTTGCGTAACCTAATTTTTCACCCCCTTTTAAAACCCCTCAAAAAGGGTTGTTTAAATTTTTTTTTTCAAGGGGGGGGTTGGGGTATTTTAAAAAGGTTTTCCGACCGGGGGAACCCCAAAAAAGGATTCGGGGATTGGGTTTTCCCTTACACCAAACCCACAACCAAAAAAAACCAAACCAAACACCCAAAAAAAAAAAAAAAAAAAACCAACCCCCCTTTCTTGGGAGGGGGGGTTTTTGGAAAAAACCCACCCCGGGACGGGGGCGGGATAAATTAAAATGGTTAACTTTTTTTTCTGTTTTTTTAAAAACCGGGGTTTGGTGGTTCCCCTTTTCCCTCTTTAATCCCGGTTTTTTTTACGGGGGCAAAAAAAAAAAGGGGGGGGGAAAAGTTTTTGAGGAAAAACCCCCCCCCCAAAAAAAAAAAATTTTTAACCAAAAATTTTTTGGGGTGGTTTTTTTTTTTTTAGTTTAAATTTTAATTGTTTATTTTTATTTTTTTAGGGGGGGGAGGAAAATTACCGCCACCCCCTTCCCTTTTTTTCAACCTTTTTCTCCTTTTTTTTTTTTTTAAAAATGGAAAAAACATTTTTTTTTTTTTCCAAAACCAAAAAAAAAAAAAAAAAATTTTTAAATCGAAAAAGGGTTCGCCTTTTTTTCTTTTTCCCCTTCCCCTTTTTTTTTTAAAAAAAATTGTTTTTGAAAGTTTAAAAAAAGAAAAAAATTTAAAAAAGTTTTTCCTTTTTTTTGGGGTTCTTTTTAACCTTTTTTTTTTCACACCCCCTTTTTTTGGGTTTTCACCCCCCCCTTTTATTTTTTTTTAACAGGGAAAAAAACCTTTTTCCACCCCCCAGGGGGGTAGGGCCCCACCCCCCGGGGGGGAAAAAACCCCCCCCTTTTTTTTTTTTTTGGCGGGGGGTTTTGGTTTTTCCCTTAAAAAAACCCCCAAAAACAACCAAAAATTTTAACCGGGGGGGAAAACCCGGGGGGAACCCAAAAAAAAAAAAACTCACCCGTTTTTCGGGGGCCAGCCCGCCCTGGAAAAAAAAAACCAAAAAAAAAACCTTTTTTTGTTTTTTTGGTTTTTTTGGGTTTTTGGGGGGGGGGCTTGGGGGGGGTTCCCTCGGAAAAAAAGGGTGGGGTTTTTGGGGTGGTGTCTCTTTTTTTCCCCTGGGGTTGGTTTGACTTTTTTTTTCCCCCTAAAAATAAAAATAAAAACGGGGAAGACCCCCCTTTTTTTTTATAAAAGCCCCCTTATCGGGGGGTTTCCATTTTCCTTCCCCTCCGGGGGGGGTTTTCCCCAAACCCCAACCCCCTTCCCCTAAAAAAAAAAAAAACAATCCCTCAAAAAACCCAAAAACCCCAAAACTCAAAAACACAAAAACCCCAAAACCCAAAAAAAACCACGCAAAACCCCAACCAAAAGAACCTCTCTTTCTTTCCTTTTCAACCCCCTTCCTTCTTTTTCCAAAAAGGGTTTTTTTGATAAAAAAAAAAAAAAAAAATTTCCGGGGGGCCCAGGGGGGGGGGAAAATTTTTTTTATTTTTTTTCCCCCACCCTTTTACCGGTTACCAGGGGGGGGGCCTGTTCTTTTTTTTCCTTTTTTGTAAAACCCGGGACGGGGGTGGGTCTTTTTTTCTTTCGGTGGAAAACAGATTAAAAGTTTCCGGGGGACCCTTTTTTTCAAAAAACTTAAAAAAAAACTTTTTTTTTTTTTTTTTTTTTTTGGCCCGGGGCAAAAAAATAAAAATTTTTTTTAAAAAAAAAATCCCGGGGGGGTTTTTTTTTTTAGGGTTTTTTTTCCCAAAAAAAAAAAAAAAAAAAAAAAAAAATTCCCGGGGGGTTCCCCCCCTGGTCGGGGGGTTGGGTTTTGAAGGGGTTTCCCCTTTTCCGGGGGGGGGCCCTTGTTTGGGGTTACCTTTTCGAAAAAAAAAAAAACTTTTTTAAGGGGGGGGGGGGTCTTGGGGTTCTTTTTTGGGGTTTTTTTTTATTTAAAGGTTTTAAAAAAAAAACCAAAATTTTCCTAAAAAAAAAAAAAAAAAAAACAAAAAACCAAATTTTTTTTTTTTGGGTTGTAAAACCCGGGGGGGGTGTTTTTCTGGGGTTTGGTTTTTTTTACCCCAAAAAAAAATTTTTACAAAAAAAAAAGGGGGTTTTTTTGGGGGGAACCCCGGGGGGGGGGGGAAACTTATTTTTGGGGTGTGGTTTTTGGGGGGGGGGCCCCTTTTTTTCTTTGGGGCCGCCATTAATTGTTGGGGTTCCCTTTTTTTAAAAAAAAAGGGGGGGGGAAAAAATTTTAAAAAAAAAAAAAACCCCAAAAAAAAAAAAAAAAAAATTTTTTTTTTCTTATTGGTTTTTTTCAATTTTTGGTTTTTTTTTTACGGGGGGGGGGGAAAAAAAAAAAAAAAAAAAAAAAATTTTTTTTTTTAAACAAAAATTCTTAAAACCAAAAAAAAAAAAAAAAAAAACCCAAGGGGCCACAACAAACCCCAATTAAAAAAAATTTTGGGGTTTTTTTAAAAAGGGGGGGGCGTCTTCCGGGGGGGGGAACTTTTTTTTTACAAGGAAACCGGGGACCCCCTAAAATTTTTTTACCAAAAAAAAAAAAAAACCCCTTTTGGAAAATTTTTTTTTTTTTGGGGGTTTGGTTTTTGGGAAAAAAATCAAAAGAAAGGGTCGGCCCGGGGGGGGTTTTTGAAATTTTAAAAATCTTTTCCTCCCCCCCCCGTGTGGCCTTTTTTCGAAGGGAAAGGGGGGTAGGATTTGGGAAAAGGGGGCTTTTGGTGGGGGGTTTTTTTTAACCCCCCTTTTGGGGAAAATTAAAGCCCTTTTTTTTTTAATTTTACATTTTAACTTTTAGTTTAAACCCCTTTTCCTCTTTTTTTTTTGTTTTAAAAAAATTTTAGAAAAAAAAAAGCTAAAAAGGGTGTTTAAAAAAAACTTTAAAAAAACACCGGTTTGCTTTTTAAAAAAATTTTTGTTGTGTTCTTTTTGTTAAAAAAGGTTACCCATGGGGGGTTTTTTTTTTTTCAGGGTTGGTCCAAAAAAAAGCCAAATTTTTGGGGACAACTTTTTCTTAAAATATTTTTCTTTTTGGTTTTTTTTTTACTTTTTTTTTAAAAAATTTGATCTTTTTTTCCTTTTTTGAATTTTTGTTTTTAAGGCGTTTCTTTAAGGGGGGCCAAGGGAACCGTACGACCCGCCCGGAAAAAAAAAAAAGGAATTGCAACCATTTTTTTTTTTTTTTTGGCCTTGAAAAAATTTGAGGGGGGGAAAAAGCCAAAACCACCCCCTATTTTTTTAAACAAATTTGTCGAAAAAAAAAAAAAAAAAAGAAAAAAAGCTCGTTTTTTTTACGGCGGGGGTCTGGTGGGGGGGGGAAAACCCCTTCAACCCCCTTAAAAAAAGTTTTTGCAGAAAAAAAAAATTAATGGAAAAAAAAAAAAAAAAAAGTTGGGAGGTTAAAAGACTTTTTTTTTTTTTTTTCAAAAAAGCAATGCAATTTCTCCATAGGATTTTGGAAAATAGCTGGAAATAAGGTCTGTGGTTGACACACATTTAAGAGACGGATCACGTTTTGTTCTACGACATTAAATACATCAGCAGTGACCCCGCTTGTGATTTTTGAAGAGTTTACATGTCTGAGTTAACAAGTGTCTGAATAGGACTACACAAGTTGTCAAGGCCGTTTTACGTCATTGCACCGAACACGTAAACACTCCCGCCAAGTTGGTTTTTCCCCGCGTGCTGCTTGAAAGCAAGTACCTGCCTCCTGCAAACTTAAAACAAACACTTCAACTTGTACACTTTAGAATCTGTATTTTTGAATATGGATCTTAAGTTGGCGTGACGTTGAAGCAGCGACCCTGCTGTAGTTCGCTTATAGCAAACGTTAGCATTTTGCTTCTGGCGACTAGATTTATGATAAAAAAATTATAAAAGTAGGGTCGACATGTGGATATTATCCGGCTGAAGAAAACGTGATCCGTCTCTTAAATGTGTTTCAACCACAGACCTTATTTCGAGCTATTTTCCAAAATCCTATGGAGAAATTGCATTGCGTTTTTGTCGAAGGAACCGGAAGTGGTAAAATGCTGACTTAATTCCGGGTTCTAGGACGCGTCACTGTGACCCTTTGTTGAATGACAAATAGACGATCTTTATAAAACATTTGGTAATCATCATATTTTATTGCTACAGTCTTAAATCCATATTGGTTATTACTTCTTGCCCCTCATCCTGTCTTGCACACAGAAATATAGAAATGTAATAATTTCATCTGAGATCTGCTCACCTTCTGCCCCAGGCGGAATTAAAGCGTCTGAAGAAGGAGTTGCGCTCGTTCTGCAAAGTGTGTGAGACGTGTCTGTCTCTGAACCGGACGGAGATCAGAGATCAGGTGAGAAACGTCGACCAATGTGACCTCAGTGGGACAATATTAATTATGCATTACAGATAACTAATTGCCCTGTTCAAATGAAACAAGTAATTTAACTGTATTATAATTACTTTTTTTTCAATAAATGGTTAAAACTGGGTAATAAAGATGGAAAGCCGATGACGTTGCACGACATTGGTGACCAGCATGGCCTGGAAATATGCCAAAAGAACCAGAATGAATAATCTATTTTCACAGAAAATTATAAATATAGACGCAACCACTTTGTAATTACCAACAATTTGATTAGTAATTCAAATGTCCTTCACTAACTGTAACGGATTACTGTTCCTTCATTGTGTAATTTAATTTGAAGGGAACCAGACACTCCTCAAAACTGAACTGATCGTAGCCTTGCACACTAAGACTGTATGTTATTGGCTTGTTGCTTGGGGAAAAGGTTATTTTTTCCTTTATGCTCTTATATTCTGACAACATTCCTGTCAACACAGATAGACGTATTTGTCCTTGAGCCCTCCTTTACACAAAGACACAAAAAGACTCCTCAGACAAAGTGCTGGTGACCTTTTTGTAAGCGCTGACGTGCTTACCAATCTGTCTTTTCAGAGATTTCCTATATAAAATGGTCCTTTCCTCCGCAGGCGTTCGAGCTGCTGTGCGACCTGCTGCTCCTGTACAGTCAGGATTCGGTCCGCTCGACGCCCGCCCTCCAGACGCTGGTCCTCCTGCCCTCAGACTCCATGCGCTCTGAGATGGCTGCTTTCCTCGTGGACTACGTCTTCTCTGACTCTGATGATGACGAGCTCAATGGTATTTTCAAAAATAACACCTACTCTAAATAAATGTTTGCATTAACCGTGGTACTTTCCAGAACCACTTCCAGTCTTTTTTTGACAATGCTGTTACAGATCATCCTCACCATTTTTGAAACTTCTGAGTAGACAAATAGATTTTGTTTTCCTAGTGGTTTTGAAACAAATCTTAACACTGCCAAATCTCTCCCAGAGGACCCTCTCCTCATTTATGCCTGCAGACATCGTTTTTGATGTCTTGTTTTGAGAATCTGCTGCTATAACAAATCCTTTTTTTCTGTTTTCACAATGTTCGGCTAATTCCCAAGCCAAATACCAGTCTTTCATCACACGTTTTGCCTGTGTCTTTATCATAACCTGACTGTTGTTTTGTTACTGTTACTCCTGCTCTCCTCCACCCTGGTTCTGCTCTCCTCTTTAGTTGAGGAAGAGATGAAGATAACGCTTCTCCAGAGGAAGCGCAACCAGCTGGCTGGCTACTGTAAGCTGGTGATCTACGGCGTGCTGGACCTCAACGCCGCCACCGAAGTCTTCAAGCACTACAGCAAGGTGGAGATGAAGGGTTTTAAATGTCACCTATCATGGTATTTTTAGGCAATAGCATAGGTCTCGGATATATAAAAAACATGTCTATGAAGTGTTTTGGTCAAAAAACCAAACAGATCACCCATTCTAGCCATGCCTCATATCCCTCTATTTCACTTCCTTTTTCAAAAGTGCTGATTCTGGGTATAAACAGGTCTCTCTTGAGAATGAGACCCTGTGTCTCAATGAGATTCTCACCTGTATAAATAAAGGCAAAATAAAAATAAAGCTTTTTTTTTTTTTTTTTTACTGAAAAAAATAAGAGGGGCGGAGCTTATGCTCATGCGTCTAAAATGCTGCAGTGATGAAACGCAAGGATTATTAGATCAAGAATGATTAGATCAAGAATTATTTCTGAAACAGTATGGAGCTCAAAGGCTTTCTTTCCTACCGGTTATACCACGAGGCGAGTTCCTTTTTATTTCCTGCTTCTTCACACACATGCTCTGTGCGGTACAGGTTAGCTCTGAGTGTTAGCGATGCTAATGTAAACATGCACCGACCATATTACGTCCAAAACAGTCGGGCATTGTTTCTGATAGCAACGTTTCTGATAGTGCCGTGGGTCCGCCGCCGATATTACGTCATTTCGGCGGCAAATCTGGATCAGCTCCGTTGTACCCCCGTTTTTAGAGATTTGGGTACGGAGGAAAAGAGAGAGGTTTTCATGACACACCGGGGACACACATTTATGTATAAAAGACATCAAAAAGTGCATTTTGCATGATAGGTCCCCTTTAAGGGATAGTTACATTTCATTAGATACACATTTATACTTTATCATTAGATTGATTTGGTGTGAGGGTTGGAGATAATAGCCCTCTAGAATATATCATTTTCCAAGTAAAAAAACAAAAAATAATTGAATTACCCACATCCATGATATTAGCAGTTCAATGTAAGATTTTTTCCCTCAAGGATTACACCCATAAAAACAAATAAAAACTAGCCTCTTGTCAAGAAAAATAGATGAATAAAAGATGAATACTTGCGAGGATGTGTAAGAGAGTGGAGGATGGTGATAACATCTGTTTAATGAACCAGCGAGGTGCAGAGAGTGAGTCAGAGGGAAACTGATTTTAAAAAGCACAGATGACTTAAAGGGAATTATCACAATGCTGTTAACTTAATCTCTTAATGATCATGCTTGAAGTAACTTTGAGTGTTTGTGTTTTTCTCCAGTACTTTAAAGACTTTGGCGACATCATTAAAGAGACCGTAAGCAAGAGCAAACTCATCAGCCCCGTCCAGAGCGCCAAGACGGTCTGCCTCAGTCTGCAGCAGGTGGGCAACAAAGGGCCATAACAAACTATAATCATTACATTTATGCAATTCTTTAATTTAATCCGTCTAGTGAAAGATAATTATATCACTTTCAGTGTGAAATAACAGCCGAAAACATAATTATTATTATTATTATAAAAAGTATTTTAACCAGCGAACAAGTGACACACTGTGGCACATGTTTATGTAAAGTCATGTTTGTGTGTGCTCAGCTGTTCTCGGAGATGCTGACGGAGGACCACAGCCAGCAGGATCTCAGTGAGATTAGAGAATTGGCCAAGAAGCTTGCCATGAGCTTTGGCGTTGATCTTCACCGCGTCCGCAAACCACTGGTGGCCTTGCACATGTACGAAGCACACACACATACACGTCTCTGACACACACACAGACACATACAGACCACCTCTGACAGACATTTTGATTTGAATGTTTTTACAGTCTCTTAAGGGCACGAGTTTATATTTATATTATTATCTCTGTCATGATAATCAACTCAAAATTGGTTCAAAGAAATGTCATTTAAATGGTGAAGATTCAACTGTTACAAGTTGTTCACTCTTATAGCTGATCATTCATTTCGTTTTTTATGTTGCGTTTTTCTCCAGGGCTTTACATTACATTACATTTCACTTGTTAGAATCTTTTATCCAAAGCGACTTGCATACTCAATACTGTGGGCAATCCCCACAGGAGCAATTCTCAGGGACACAACGACATACTGACTGCAGTGGGGTTTGAACCTGTGCTCCCTTGATCCGAACACCAACGCTCTATCCACTGCGCCACACGCCGCCGCCTCAAAGACTTAATTAAAGAGACTCTAAGCAAGAGCAAACTATTATTTCGTTTTTTATGTTAGTTCTATTGTGCTTGTTGTTTCTGATCCTAGGGATGGCATGCATTTTGCATTCCGGGAGCCACGTGAGGGGGAAGAGCCGAACATGAACTTGGCCTTCCTGGAGATCCTCAGCGAGTTCAGTTTCAAGCTGCTGCGTCAGGACCGCACCCAGCTGTGAGAAACAAAAAACTCCTTCACATGAACATGTTCAGTCAAATATCAGAGGAATACTAATATCACAATATAAGCATAATATATAAACAGACAATCCATACACTTGCTTTCCTCATTCGACGATCACCACGAGGCACCTCAAAGGACAAAGTTACATTTTCCTTTAGCCTACTAAATCAAGATATTTATATATTGAAAAGCAAACACAGAAAATAATGTGATCATTCTTGAAATGTCACTGTTAACGCTTTTCCACATGTTGTTTATTCACATTCGAAGCTTGTATTTAGATTCCAAGTGAAAAAAGTGATGCATTTGATTATTTAATAAAACAATTGATTTCTCTGATGTCTTTCTACAGTGTTTAGTATGAGACTGATAAAACTGTCTTCATGGTGTTCCAAGCGGATACATATTTTAATATTTTATAACGACTTAAATAGTTGATTCTAATAGTGTTAGAGCAGACACATATTTTTTGTGATTTTGGTTTTATAAATGTTATTTTTTTATGCAGCTTAGATGGATGCTTTGTATGGCGGCAAACTGTTTTTATTGAACCGCAAATATTATGGGGGAAAATGGATAAATACCTGGACATATGGATTCCAGCAGAATATTTTATGAGATAAAAACATATTATTCACTTTGCAAAGGGTTTAAACAGAACGAATAAACGTGAATTTAAATGTTGATCAAATGTCACCATCTTAATGAAGCTTCAAACTATTCTCTACAACCGCACAAATTGAAATGGACTCATCATTACTAAGAAAAAGCTGAAAAAGCTCTACATAACCTGTAAATATTAACAAAGGCTTATCTGTCTTTGTCCTCATCTCTCTGTCACTCTGTCCTCCCCTCCCAGCGCTGCCTATCTGAAATCAGAGTGTCCCTCTGCTGCCCTCTCCTGGCCGTCCGTCAGGATGTATCAGTGCTCCTTAGAGGGCCGCTCCTCCTCTAAACCCAGAGAGAAGGAGGGAGGAGATGCCGCCTCCTCTCACGATACACCTGCAGCTAAACGCAAGAGGACCACTACCCCGGGTGAGATGGACACACAGGCTAGAAACACAACAAGCTGCTCAAGGATTCACAGCTCGTGTTAACAGTTGAAGTTAAAAAGATGATCTGTCTTTGATTCACTTTCTCAAGAGATGGGTCAGGTAAGGATCGGGCTCAGTATGCTAAACTAGTGAGAGAATCGCTAACAACTACAACAAAATGAACATATTTTACCGTGATTTAATTGTAATACACGTTTCAAAATGATGCCGAAGTAACAACATACTGATACCGGTTAGTAAAAACCATGAATTAATGCTTTGACAAGTCTGCAGACAGACGGCAGGCGAAAAACCTTTTTAAATGCATGTTTTCTGAATGGAGATCGGCTAAGCTAACGTTGTATATGCTCCGCCCACACTCACAACAACGGCCTACAGACATAAATAAACCAGAGACTGTATTCTCCATGACACAGACAGTCTGTGGTTTGGACTTGTTTAACTTTTGTCTAGTTTCGGAACAGATATGAGGAGCTGTGAGCTCTGAGGGCTAACCGCTAACGGCTGATGTTGGTTTTGTGTTTCGCATTGAAGATGACGTCACAGCTCCGGCGCCTACACTGCGTTACTATAGTTACTGCCCCGGCTACTAAACTGTAATGGAAACGCAGCATAAAGTGAGCCTGGCCTAACAAAGCCTAACGAAGCCTAGCATACCGTAGGCTACTAAGCCGAGCGAGGCCCTGCAGTGGATAAGCGTCATTATGTTGTAATAGTATTGTGTTTCGAATTGATCACTTATTCGATGCTTTTGATAAATTAGCGTTCCGTTTTTTCAGAAATGTAGAAGTGGTTTAAAAAATGTTATGTATTCAATGGAAACAAAAAACTGTAAATTGCAGCCATTGGCACAATCACCCATAATGTTCATCCTTTGGCGATAGATAGTGGCTAAACAGACATTTAATACAAGTAAAATCTTGTAGTTTGCCATTTAAAAAAAGTAAATTTTGAAGTGGTTAAATAAAAAAACATCAAACAGAGTATCTATGTGGAAGTAAATCCTTAAAGTTAATCTGATTCCCAACAACTGGCATCAAAATGAGCACAAACTAATGAAAAAATAAAATTGATATTATATATAAAAAAAATACTTGAATTAAAGCATTTCATACTTTTGTACTTTACATACTTCAGTACACCAATCTGTGTCAGTATCATAGACTCTTTAAAGTAGAGACACTACATACAGCAGGAGAGGACTCTTTAAAGTAGAGACACTACATACTGATATACACCTGAACATCAGCAGGAGAGGACTCTTTAAAGTAGAGACACTACATACTGATATACACCTGATAAATATATAAATAAACATTGATTGATTGATTGACTAGAGTAGCCTACAGTACAGTATATTATTGTATAGTATAATAAAGCGTATTAAGTTGTAGTAAAGAATATAGTATAATATAATATAGTACAGTATAGTAAAGTATATTATTGTATAGTATAGTATTGTATTGTATTGTATTGTATTGTAATATGCTTTACTACACTGTAGTAAGGGATGGGGATCAGAGGCTTCCCAGCATCCTCCTCGCTGATTGGCGAAGAGATGTCGGCCATCTTGGATAGTAGCGGGGAAGACAGATTGATGAAGCGGTAAGATCTTCTTCTTTTATTCCTTTAATTTATATCCTTCTTTTATTCACACGAAACCCGTATTTAAGTGAATACAAACAGCACACTCGGATAGGGTTTACCACGACACAAGGGGAGGATAAAGCTCTTATTTAAAGCTGGAGTTTGTGTTCCGCTGTTTTCTGTTGTTGTTTTGGAAGCTAATGTTAGCCGACGGAGGCCCAAAACCCGGAGAAAAACACTCCTGTCTTTGGCTCGTTTCTCTGCTTGTTACCTTCCTTCGCACCCCCAGTTTAATCCCACTTTCCTGGTTCAACAGATCCGCTTAAAACTGTCTCCAAACGTGGCGTTTATTTGTTGCTGTTAGCCGATTAGCAGTGAGCATTAGCTCCCACGCTAGCGTCCCTATACATTCCTAATGATTAAGCTGCTAGCCCAAGCTCACTACTTAGCTATCATGTAGCTCCTGACACAGTTCACACCTAATGCGAGATGCAAGCTTTTACTTTAACGGTACTCCGGAACATAATTATGATCAGGGTATCTTGGTTAATATGTGAATGTGGGAGGAAAGCTGTGGTGATTTAATGGTAGTTTTTGTTAGGAAGATTATGGGACATAGCATTAGCTCATAAAGCTAACATTAGCCTTTTGCTGCAGCTTTCTTTGAAACGAAAAGAAAAGTGAAGCTCAGAAACTACTTTTTATTATTCAATTTCTCTATTTTAATTTGACTGCTGGCCTATCTGATTGAATTGCACCTCTATCCAACCCACTAAGTTCACGCCACTTTCTTTACATCGACTTTTAAATCAATTTGTAACAATACACATGTCTGTATTGTTATCGTACTAAGGTGCAGTGGAATTTACAAGGCTTTCATTCAAATAAAACCACGATTTCTATTTTCTCTTTTTTTCTGCTTATCAAAATGTGTGCACCCACATTTGACACTTACTATTATCTTACGTTATTGTATTTTATATGTATTCTTTATTTTCTTTAGAATGAAACCTATGATGATAACACAAAGAAGGAAATAGGAAATCATAAATACTGTTTGAATAAAGTATCCCATAGGTACTTAAATACATATTACTTATTTTTACAATGAACTTTATTGTTGTTGTAATTAGAATAAAAACATCTGTGAAACAACTTTTTGGCTCAGGTGGCTGTTATTCTATGTTTCTATCCTGAAACACACTGTTTCCAAGACACACTTTATTAATCTTAATAAGCCTTTAAGACACTGTTTAGTGGATAGCAATGCAAGTGATGAAGAGAGATGCTGATGATAAAGTGAAGGGTTTGTTATGTGCACACTTTGTCTCACTCTTTCACATATAGATCATTAAAGAATAATGCACAAAAACACATGTTATGATAGTTATTTTTATCATGTATATGTCTGTAACTTTTTAAAAGATGCCAGACGGATGAAACCGTTTGTTCTAAAAATCTACAGACAATAATTATATCAATGTTCCCAGAGTGTTTGTGTTACCATCCAGGAAAAGACGTGCTCACTTCCCTCAAACACAAGGGGAAGAAACTGTGATTTGGATGCATTTATTTATTTGTTCGTTCATACGAGTCTGATGTTGATAATCTGTGGTCAGTGCTCTTCAAATAAGATGCTGTAGCTTCACTTAAAATCACAAAATGTACACTTTTTCCAAACCTACTCTCTGCATACTTCCACAAAAAGTGATGTGCATAAAGAGTAACCGTTGTTTGGCTTGTATAGGCGCTGCTGTTGTGTTGTGTTAATAATCACTGTGCCTCAAAGAAAAGCGGATTATCTGAGCAAGTTAAATGAATTCAGCAGCATTTTGGGACAGTCTCTAACATCTAAGTTAAACAGACAACAAACATTGGTTTCATCTGCTTTATTAAATGTATTTGCTTTGTTTTAACTTAGACTTTGTGACACAATGTGAGCATAATACCGGTTTGTGTTTGCAGACTTAAAACGCATGTTAAGAGTTTAAAAAAGAACAACTTAATGTGACTTTATTCTCATTTGTTGGGCTTGCAGAGTAACGTGTTGCTCCTGGTAACAGCGGACGTTTGAATCTGAGTGTCCTGTGTTTTTATTCCTCAGGTGACACGCGGTATGTTTGGTGCTAACCGGAAGAAGTTTATGGAGGGAGGGATAGAGAGCGATTACGCGGACGACTCCAGTCTCTACTACACCCAGCAGTCCATGTTCCCTCCTCACCGCCCTGACAAAGAGGTAAATCTACTGTTCAAATCTTCCTCAGTGGTTAAAACTGCATCTGTTTGTTGACTCCTGTTGGTGTTACAAACCCCCAACAGGACCAGCTTAGTTGTTTTGAACTTGGGGAAAGTTGTTGCAAGTAGGGGTGCAACAACTAATCGACTTAATCGATTAAAATCGATGACCAAATTAGTTGCAAACTAATTCAGTCGTCGATTCGTTGGTGACGTCATCACGTGTGTTTTACGCGCCGTTACGCTCCAACGTTATTGGTCTTTTTATCGGTGCTGGAGACATTTCAAACATATGTCATGTGTTATTGCTACACAAACATGATATCGAAGTCTTCGTGTCGCCAACTCGTTTCTAACATGCAAAAAGACAAACAAATGCGTCTATGATGTATTTTCGATCAGACGAGATCTCTCTCCCGTCTGTGTGCGAGGGGGCGGGGCAGTTTACACACACAGCAGCTACATGCAGCAACACACGGAGGAGATGGCGGAGAGAACGCGCTCCAAGGTGTGGTTAAACTTTACCCGTCTCGATGCTCGTTGCCAAAAGTGCATAAGAGTTTAGCATGTAAGGGCGGTAACTAGGGCTGCAACTACGATTATTTGGTAGTCGACTAATCGGTCGATTATTTTTCGATTACTCGACTAATCTAACGATTATTTAAGTTGGAATTAATTACAGCGTCCATAAAGCTCTAGTGTGCTCTACTACGCTGTAAGCTTGGCGCTGTTTAGCAGCTCGTTGGTGGACACGCAGCCTCAACATAACTGAAATAGCGTTTGCTTAGCAAGCATTAACCATGAGACGTTCTGTNTAAGCCTACTATTTGATTTGTTTTAGATAGGCACAACATGTTTCATATGCAGACCTTATTTTCCTGTAATAAACCATTTTCAGTGGTACCGCTGAGAAAGAGTAATTGTTTTGGTCATGGAAAATTAGGTAAAGGTCATGGAGAAGTCATGGAAAATCATTGGTAAAAAAGTGTATGAACCCTGTACACAGAACAAATATATAGCACCTTCCACAAAAGATGCTGGTGAGCTCCACATGTAGTATTCCTCCCCCTCATGTTAACCTGCTGCTGTTCAACAGGTTCAGTATACGCAAGGTGAAGCCCACCAAGCAATGCCGTCTCTCCTCCAGCCAGACCGGCACCTCTCTGGAACAGCCGGACCTGAACTCCAACCTCAGCTTGTAAGACTGACGTTATAACGTTAGAGGAGAGTACCAAGAGAAACGTTTAAATATTTAGAAAATGTGAATATATATATTGTGTCTTTCTTAGCTTTTATCCGGCAAGAATACATTACATTAAAAATGAACATTGTTTTCTCCCCAGACTTTCTCTGATTGAGGATGGTGAAGAAGGAGAAGAGGCTGAGATTGATGATTATGAGAGTGGCTCCGATCATGAATCTGAATTTTCACTGGTAAAAAAACTAAAATGCACTTTAAAGCATTTATATCCATCACATACTTCTCTTACGATTGATGAGTCTGCTTTAAATTACACAGTTGTCTGCATTATTTCCAAAGTTTGGCTCTTTTAGAAAATTTTGATTCAGTCTTCATTCAGTTCAGTAGCAATTTAATACACTGCTGTAACACTTTGGTGGACTTGATCAGCTGAGCTACAATTGAATGAATGTCTATAAAAATGCATTATACTGGTGATTTTGTGGAGCTGACTAACAGCCTAATTAATGGTACATTATGGCGGCAAACAAAATGCATGATTGGGGAACTGTGTCGGAATGGCACTTTGGTTTCCAATGAATATTCCTGTCAAGCTCCAACTTTGTTCGTCCTGCTTTTTCTCTTCAGCCCTCCACGCGCCACACCTCTGCCAGCGTCCTCGATGAGCTCTTTGACTGAGGACATGGAGACCTGTACCGTCGGGGGAACAACCGTTGTTTTTCGTTAAAGTATCTCTTCAACACTACTGCGTTTTCTCAGTACATTTCAGTGTACTATGTATTTGGGGCATCTGTTCTCCTACATGACCACTTACCAAGTTCATCTATCAGATTTATTTCAGTTACTAATTTTGTTGGAGGGGAAAAGGAAAAACTAAATGATGAGTTTTGGGGGGAAAAGTTTATGCCATTTCACCAAAAGGAAAGTTTATGTTTTGAAAGAAAATGTTTAAAGGAGTGTTCATGTTCAGTTAGATTCTTGTTGGTTGATTCTTGTCTGGCAGCAAGTTAAAAGTATCTCCTGTGTCCCACTTTTTGAAGTTAGGTTCATAACGTATTTCACTGTTGTCGACTGGTTTTTTCGTGTCTAACGTTTGTTTATATAATTATTATTAAAATATCCTTTATTGAGCAAACAGGGTTTTAATGAGATCACAAGAAAAGATGTGTAAAAACGGATGAGATGTGATGCACATGCATGCGTTTAGAGAATGCACAATACATCAACACCTTTTAAACAAGTTCAAATATGTGATGGTATGTATTACTGTGATAACTAATAAATAACTAATAACAAGTAAGCTTGGAGTTTTTGTTTCCTTTTAATATCATGCATTTAGTAATATATGTAATTTGTGAACCAAACGATTACAATTTTTTTTAAAACAGAACACAATTCACTGGGGGAAATGTCTACATCAGAAAGTCACACCCTTTATATTTCACATTTTGAAAAGCCAGATGAAAATACATAAACACCAATACTCAGTCTCAATTGCAATTGCATTTTATTTATGTGTTTATTACCCTATCAATGATTCTGCTCTAAAATAAGAGTGTTACTAATAAATTGATGGCAAAACCAAAAACCTTTACCCCCTGAGGTCATTACACTTTCTGCTGACGTTATAAACCTGTATCTTATTTTTAAACAGGTATCTGCTTGGAAACTACCCACATGATATGTATACCAGTTAGGACAATAAATATCTGCATTAATTATTATTATGAAAATTGTATAACGTTTGCCTTACAAATAGCTTGAATTCTAGAACGTTTTAAGTTTATTTTGGCCATGACTCGGCAGTGTTTACAAAAGTTATACTACAGTCTGTTTGAGTTCACTCTGGGTTCACTCTGTTGTATAAAATCCAATCATTGCATTTCGCGCCAATCCTGACTAACAGGGCGGAAGTTTGTTGAGTCACGTGACGCGCGAACGCCCTCAACTTTCGCGCCACCACGAAAACCCCGCCTCTCACTGCGGAAAGAAGCCACGCGATTGGCTGCTGGCTACGTCAGACTCGCGCCACTTCTTGCACGGAGACCGGGGAGAACCGCAAGCTGCAAGCGAATGAATACTAGTCTCCGGTGATATTGAAGTAATTAAACCGTGAATTTAAACTCTATTTGAGTCTGTAGGTATCGTTAGGATTTTGGAATCAAGTTATCTCACCTGAGGGTCAAGGTCTGCAGTCATGGCTCGTAAGGATTATGCGGCAGAGAAAGGTAATGTGTTAACTTTCACAATAACGGCATGGCAGTAATAGGTTGGCCCAAGATAACGGAGCTTAACTTTAAACTAAATATCTTCTTCAAAATCCCTTTTTGAAAACCTACGTTCCTGATTTGTATAATGCAGTGTAGTGCAGCTAATCTGAAACGAGTCGTGTTTGTGCACAAACAATTGAGTAGCCAGTTTGGTTACTTTCCCTCTTCGTGTTCCCTCTACTCTAACTCCAGTTCATTAGACCACAGCCCATTAGGTCATGCATGTGTATTTTAAAACGTTAGGAGAAAAACAATCCGGGAAAATAAACGTTGTAGTAACTTTTCTCCTAAGTAACTAGTTAAGCATTACCTCTGTTAGACACAGTGAGTGACCCGGATGGAACCGTTTAAACAAAGGAGCAGGCGCCACTGTGGAAGCACATGTCCAACAATAACTTTTTGAAAAACGAAGAGGAATTTCTCAAACAACATATTTCGGTTAATATCTAGACATCATATGCTCATTGTTATTTCATGTGCATTCGATTTAAACTCACAATACACAACCTCACGACATGCATTCAGTTTAAGAATAATGTGAAGTGTGACGTTAGACATTCACGGTTTTTAAGTGACTTTGTTCACATTACTTGAAACATACAATTTAGGATAACGAGCTAATGTTGTTTCTTTGGTAAAAAAAATAGGCTTTTTCTCAATGATAAAAAGGTACACTAGTAAACAGTAAAAAGTCAATAAGTTATACAGTTGCGTAACCTCCATGTTTTACCCATCAATATATACAAGGCCAAACTTTTCAGGACTTTAAGTCAACATGAAATAACTAAACTGGCACTAATTAACTGCTAGCTTCCACAACCTACGTTAGCATGCTAGCCGGTTAGCTAACGGTGTTGCTTGTCAGTTGAACAAGTTAACGTACCGTTTTGCATCCAACTGTTTTGATTAAAAAAATGGCAGATGGTTAGTCACCTTGCCCTTTGCTTTGCTAAGGGATACTTGGTTGAAATGCTGGTAGGGGATTGAGTCCACGAAGATGTCGGCACACACTTTATGTAACTGATGAATAAACTAATGGTATTTGTTTTAATTTTAAAGGCACCCCAACGGAAATGCCTAATATTCAAAATTATTACACAACAATTGAATTTGAATTTTTTTAAATTTGTAACCAACCATGATTTTCCTATTTTATTTAACTCGTGGTTCTGTTACACTGGCATTTTTTAATCTAATTTGCCTTAAACTTAAAAGGCCATACCTAACAATAAACCGAGAAAATGTATATGTATTTATTCCACTGTACAGTATTTAATTGTACATTTTGTTCTTGTTTATCTTATTCTATTTACACGTATATAGACACACATTTATTTATTACTACAATAACTATTTATTCCACTTTACAGTATTATGTTCTTGTTTATCTTATTCTATTTACATGTATATTGACTTCTGCATTGACTTGATCACTTGCCAGATTTTTATTGCATTTTATTTTAAATGTATATCGTTTACTTATGCATTAATTGCACATTGGTCTTGCAACATACTCTTTATTCCTACTGCTTCTTCTTGCACTATTTTTGTTTGTTTTTATTTGTTTATATCTTGTATATATTTATGTTGCATTGTTGGAGGAGCCTGGGACCTAACAGTTGTATTGCCATAACTACTCTGTAGCTATTGTGCATATGGAGAAAACGCCTTTGAATCTTATAAGTTTTACTTGGAGGATATGATCCATCAGAAATCTTGGAAGTTAGACCTCAAGTCGGCGACATTTTACCGGCTAGGGATTATGTAAATAGCGGCTAATATCGACGGACCTGTCCATGTTAGAAACACTCAGCTAACCCGAGCTAACGTTAGAAGATGGCTGGCCTTGCTTTTGAAAACAACAGCCAGGACTATTTTTAAGAGCGGAGGGATACTCAGTGACGAGGCTAAAAAGCCATGTGCTGCTTTGTTTACAATAACATCCTCGAACAGAGAAATAATAAACCAGATGTGCGGATTTTCTGCTAAAGCGACAAAGTAAGTAGAGTGTTTTAATAATCGCGGTAGGGCTGATTTCATTGGTTGTAACGTGGAATCAAGTATTGTTAGTTGCTGTGGCTCTTTCGAGAAGTGAGGGATGTTTTTCTCAAAGAAAAAAAAAATGGACCCTGAACTGAGCGCGCCTGTTGTTGTATTTACATTATTTCACCGAAGAAATCTGCTTCGTAATTGTCAGGTATTTCACTTTAAAACTTTGATAGTTGGTACACACGAATGGAATTTGGTTCATGTATTACAGCAGAGGCAGTTTGCGCTCTAATGAAGGCAATAGTGACTCATCGAGATTACAGGATGCCATGTTACTCAACAAAGGGGTCGTCGCAGGACAACAAATTAGCTTCCAGGCCCAGTGGTGATGGTGGTGGTGTTGTTAATCACACATTTATACTCAGAAAAGCAGCTTTAATATATAAACAATTTAAAAGATAACCCCAGAAAAAAAGATTTATCTGTTTGAATAATATACAGTATGGTGGACAAACAAATCTCCACCTGGTGTTTACTTGATGTAGCCTGTTTTGATTTTTTTGCTGTGAAATAATTCTGAAGATTTTTCTTTTTGCAGACAAATGCAAAAGGGTCCTGCAGGAGTTTTATTCTGAGGACGACAATGGGAAGAAGGTGTTCAAATATGGAGCTCAACTTGTAAGTAGTACATTTATATTTCTTATTTTGATCGTCAATTAATGTTCAAAGAAGATTAAATAGTATTTTAGCACCTCAAACAACTGCTTTTCTGTTTCTATATTATAATAAACTGATGTTATCTTTAGATTTTTGACTAATAAATTAGATGTTTCAAGACAAAACCTTTGACTCTAAGGGACAGGAAGGGAAAATGTTTGCTTATTTATTTATTTATTTATTTATATATATATATATTAGGGGTGCACCGAACGGGAAATTCTTGGCCGAAACCGATACCGAAAATAGGAAACAGTTGGCCGAATGCCGAAAGGCCGAAAATGATTAATAGATATATAGAATTTGCATTTTCTTTTCTCTGTAGGATAACTACAACAAAGTGCATTCAG